AATGGAATGCATAATAGCACGCAATGACACAACAAAATATAGAAAAATGAAAAAACATAACCACCTAAGACAACATTATTTAGATGACATTGAATGTAGTGTCCAACTACCCAATTCATCAAAAATCATTGAAACAACTAAGAAAGACCATTATAAAAAAATATGGATCAGGCGGCAGCAACATGCGAAATAGCCAGGGAATGAAATAGTTTCAATTCTTTGAGCCACTTGGACCGGCTTGATTTGGATCATTTTGGTTGTTGGTTTTCCTATTCATCATGTTCATATAGTGAGTCCAACCCTCACAATCCCGCCCCACCACACTAGGCAACGGCTCAACAATACTACTGTTCACCGGAAGCATGGGATTCGAGATGACAACATTGTCCATCACGTTTTCAGGAATTTGGTTGTAGTTGACCATTCTTGAAGCCGCCATTGCATCTGGAACATCAGCTCCAACCGAGGTTGAGGCATTGGCATCACTTGTGTTATTCATCTTTAAGGTCTCAATCCTATTATTAATTTCTGCCAAGTGCAAGTTAATGACCCAACCCAAGTCATTCAAATCGGCGACATCCAACGGCCTATCAATTTGCTCTCCGGCGAGGATTTTGTACATGATCGTTGTCATTTCCTTCTCACGGTTCTCCTTCTTCAACTTGATTATGGTAGTGTTGAGCTTTTGAATCCTATCATGAACAAAGTTCTCCTGGCTCGTGCTCCTTCTAGTTTGCTCCACGTCAGGAAGACTTCTGAACCTAGCAATCGTTTGTTGCACGCCTTCCGCCGATGGCCACACCACTGGCTCTGGTTCCCATGAGTTGTACATGATTGTGCATGCCTCTACACTGCACAGGATTGTTAGCTCTTCAAGCTTCTTCAACAATCCCTTCCTTCTTTTCTTGTACGATGCTTTCCTTTTGGATTCATCGATGATATATGTCAACCTTACTTTTCTTCTTGCCATGGTTGGCTCTTGAAGAGAAGATTGAATTAGGTTTTGATGAGTTTATATTGTACATGGAGATGAGACTCTACTTATATAGATTATGGAATAATAGCGATGTTAAAAATTGGTAATATTTTGATTTGACGAGTACGCAGCACTTCAAATTTGGTTCATAGGTTGTTGTCGTTGAATTTATATATTATTATATTAGTAGTATTAATATTGGTATACATTCATGTTGTCATTAATTGGTTACTATTATAGTATTTTCCGTTCTAAAAAAACGTTTTCATAATCAAGGTACGTACGGATACTACATCACCCGCTCACTAAGGTGTCGTTCATTTATGCGACAAAGCTGATAAGAGTCACACTAACTATAATCTTAATTCAATTGGAGACTAAAAAACTAAAAATATAAAGCTTTTAATTACAAAGAGATAGACATATATATACTTTAATATCATATATACCGACACATTAAGTTTACAAACCAATAAAAACCTTACAACTTTTTAAACAACATGTTAACTATTACTCCTATTTCAGCAAAAAAAAAACAATTATGGAATCAATTATTAATATTACCTTTGAGGAATGGAGTATGTAGTTGTATTATAATATAACCAAGTTCATTATACATGTGATACATGAAAAAATGTATATAGTTTTATTGAAGGGAGAAACATAGTTCATCCAAAACTTGATAAGAATTACAAAGTTTTAATTAGTGTCATTGACCACATACATACAACACGGCATGACATAGATTGAAAATGCAAAAACTAAGTCATTTTTTCACTAATTTAAACTTTGTAAGCCTTACTACGTATATCAAATGAACTATATATGTTTCTTCCTTCAGTAAAGCAGCTATATCACATTTTTCATGTATCATATGTGTACTGAACATGGTGTATATTGTTGAATTATTCAATTACATACTCCACTCCTTTAAAGGAAATATTATTAATTCCTTCCATATGGTCTTTTTCCCCAAATAGTAACAATTAACATTGTGTTTAGAATATGATGATGACATATATTCTCAAAATGTGTCATTGTTTAAAGTTGATAAACTTTTATTTGATTGTAAACTAAATGTGTCGGTACATATAATATTAAAGTATATGCACTTCTGTCACTTAGTAATTAAATTTTTTATATTTTTAGCAAGTTAGCTGCCGACCGAATTAAAATTATAGTTAGTGCGACTCTTATCAACTTTGTCGCTTAAATGAATGACACTTTAGTGAGCGATGATGTAGTATTGATACGTACCTTGATTACAAAAATGTTTTTATGGAACGGTGAAAACTATAATAGTAATTGATGATGACACAAATGTATACCAATATTAGTACTAATAATATTAATCTATAAATTCAATGACAACAAGCCATTAATCAATTTTAAAGTAAATCTGTCCAAAATAGTACAATCTTTATCATTGCTATGATTACATAATCTATGTAAATCGAGTTTAATCTCTATGTAGAGGCAATTTCATGGAACTAAAATTCACCTTGGATGGCTTAAGAATGTCTATACTGAAGATTTTTTTTATCTAGGGAGTTGGCTCCAGGGTTTCAAGAATGAGAATTTTCGGAGATAGGATCTATTTATATTGACTCGTTAAAAAATATGCTTTGGACTGAACTTAAATAGGTGTGCACATGGCCTTACACACACCGTGTGTGTAGTCGTGTCTAGGTGCGGAACAGAGTTACTCATCTATGCCAGACACGGTCATATGTGTGATTGTCTCTAGGTGCAGAACGGACGCTGTCCATTTATACCAACACACGGCTGTGCGCACGCCATGAGTATGTCCGTGTGTGATTAGTTGATTTTCCCAAAATCGCTTTTTCCCCGATTTTGCTCGGATTTTGCATGTGCTGAACTCGTTCTAGACCCCAAACACTAAGCTGGATTTTAATTAAGCTACCTAGGGACATTCCCAACGTCAAATATATTATTTATTAGAAATTTTAAATCTTGGCGTATCACAACTACCTCCACCTTTTGTCTGATTGTCTCATTCTTTAAGCGGTCTTTTCTAATATGTCCACACATCCAACCCAGTTGTCCAATACCTCGACCACATTGAAATCTTGATGCACTCTTTCATTTCATCCACCCTGTTATGATTCTATCATAGATACATCGTCATCAAATTTAACGTCCATATCTATACGGTCAAACTTACTTCAACTCAACATGGAACCCTTTTTCCCCCAAAGTTTGTCGTTATATTCCCAACTTTACTTTAACATTTGATTTGGTCTCTTAAATCAACACAATATTATCATTTTGAATGGACTTCATGAATTTATCTATGACTATAACAAATAAGAAAGGATTAAGAGTCGATTCTTGGTGCACTCTGATAGTAATTGGTGATTCTGCGGTTCCTTCTACACGTACTAGTACAAACACTTTAGAACAATCCCAATGGCCATACATATCCATGATGTCTATATAATTTGCAGCTCTCCCTACACATATTTATGTTCACCGAAGTATGAAATTTCACATTATTTATGTTGAGTTGTGTGGTTTCTAATTATATGCTCAAATTTATTTAAATTAGGAACACAGATAAAGATAAAGAAGACAAAAATCAATCCTCTACTACCAATAATTTTGAGGAAAAAAATAGAAAAAAATCAAACAATATGGAGAACATAGAGAATTAACGTTTAGCTGAATAAACTCATTAACTAGATATCAGTGAATGAAACTAGACAGATCATAATACCATACTCCATATTAGATTAAAAAACAATCAATGTTATTTTAGAATTATAAATACAATGAACTAGCTAGTTTTATCACTTCTTTGACATGTTAGAATTCTTTTGTGTAATAAGCATAATATAAACTATGAATTTAATTCTTCAAATAATTTTTTGGGTAGCTAAATAAGCAAAAGTATGACACGGTCTCTGCTTTTACTTTAGTACTATCAACCCCTAATATTGGTACAAAAGAATGTGGTTATAAAATTAAAAAAAGTGAATTTATGTTATTGATATTAAATCTATAAAGTAAGAATAATTTAGAATCACACAATTAACAAATTTGGTATGAGACAATTTTAGTGCAACAGACCAAAAAGGAAATTAATAAACTTATACTCCATAATATTTTTGCATGTTAAAGTTATTAAATATTATTTAATTTTATTAAATCAATAAGCTTTTTTGAAGAAAAATTCATCAACAAATAATAATGAAATTAAATAGATAAAAATCTATGTTATTTCAAAGTCTTAGATGGATACTTTTCAATCTTTCTGGTTCTATATGATATAATTTATAGTGAAAAATTCTATTTGTACACCCTGAGTTACATCCCGGGGTACACCCTATTTATTTACCGTTTACATAGGAAAAAAATATAAATATAGACACTTTTTGACAAAATTTGTCTATGTGAATAAAATTTGTTTGTAACATGTCTACACAGACAAATATATGTGCACAAACATTTTGTGTGTGCATACAAACACTTAATGTTTGTATACATTGATTTTCATGCAACTAAACCTAACTCTTTATGCAAAAAAACACACCAATTAGTGTGATTTGCGCGAAAAAGTACACAGACACTAGTTGTATGTATACCTACACAAAGTGTTTGTGCACATATATTTCTTATGTGCCACTATGATCAGACATGTTTAGAGACATTTGATTCACACACATAAATTTTATTTACGCATACAATTTTGGGGATAAAATGTGTGGATTTTATACTCCCTCCGTCCCGGAAACAAGTTCTCACTTTCCTTATTTGCATGTCCCAAAATAAACTTTTCATTTCCTTATTTGGCAAATAATCTACATAAAAAAGTGCAAAACAGTATCAAACAGGGCCAAACAGTGTCAAAACAGTGTCAAACAGTGTTAAAACAGTAAAATTTACCTCTCAATAACTTTATTTACTTGAAATGTGGGAAAGTCAATCCGGGAACTTCTGGTACGGAGGTAGTACTTTTCTTTTCTAGATGAAAGGTATGTTGGTACTCACAAACATGTACACCCCTCTAGTCATTCACAAATACAACTAACGACACTTGTACCACGCACTAGTCATTCTTCATTGTCTTTCAAATCGTATGTAGATACAGTGTGAAAGAGCGGGCACGTGCATTGACTCTGTCATCCTATGTTCAACTAGCCTGAAAGATGTCGTCCGTCTATGGAACTTCCATACAACTATAACCGTTGACTGCTCCATGACCTGCACCTCCCACCCCTTCCCTTCTTTCTGAACTCCCTCTGAAATGCCTTCTTTCTGGAAAGCATTCTCGCATACCTCTTCCCATTCTCACTCCGCCCGGACCAACTCATCACCGGCTTCTAGTTCAAGCCCGGCGTATGAATCTCCCCGCGGCGGCAGCGATAGGCATCTTTTCGGCGGCGGCGGAGGTCAGCGGCTGACCCGGCAGCCGAGGTTGAGGCATGCGACGGAGGACGAGCTCGGGTTACGCCTCGGGCTTATTGATGGGCAGTCAAAGTCAAAGTCTTTGCCGGTCTCCCCGGAGTCCAATTCACGGTTGCGGCGTCATGCCGGCCACTGGTCTGAATCCGCCTTGCCGCAGCCACTTCCCCTGCCCAAACAGAATTCTGAGGGTGAAAGTTTACTGACCAAAGGCCAAGGACATACTTCAAGCTCTGCAGCCACAAGGTATAAAATTTATTTTCTTTCTTTTCTCCAAATCATTTTAAGATGGAAAGTTTTGTCTTTGTTGTTTGGATTCTAAGTTTTGTTTTTTTGTTCTAATGTTCAAGTGTTCAACTAGTTTCAGTAATCTAATCTAATTAGGTATACATCTTTAGGTATTAGCTTATCCCAATCAGAATTTTCTGCAAGTCATCATTATTTCTAATTCTTTATAGGTAAATCTCACTGAATAAAAAATTTCATAAATATTATTCCCTCTGTCCCTTAAAACTTGGTCAAGATTGTCCCACACGATGATTAATGAAGTAAAAACTATGGGAGTCAGGTTTGTGCACAAGAAAAGGAATTAACTGAATTTTTTACTTAAAGGGAAATTGACAAAGTTAGTGACACAACCAAAAAAGGAAAGTTTGACAAAGTTTTAAGACAAGAAGAACATTTTTCTGTGGCTTGGATTCATAGTTCTAATCTTTGATACCAGCATGATATTCTATATTTATTCTAATGCATATATATTCAACTATTCAAGTAATCTAATTTGTCATTAATATATGCTTGTTCTGAAACTCAATCCAGGAATTTAAATGAATCCGAATTTTCTGCAAAGCTTTGTTTGAATTTACTTTTTGGTGTGGTTTTATATCTACCATATATTTTTGTCAAAGACTGGAACTGGTGTGAATCATTAATGTAATACTTCTAAATTTGAGTGCATTACCTTTAAAAGACACTGCCTTTTTATATAAACAAAAAGTTTTATTTTCCACCTTTAGGCATGATTATACTGTAACATCTCTATTAGCAAATGGGCTAACATTTGGTAGTTTGTAACTTGAGATATGTTCATGAAATGCTTACTTAAGAGTAATATATGGGTTGCTTTATTGCAGTAATCCCTCAAGGGATGGTAATGGAAAGGCAGTAAATTCAACAAGGAGAGCAACAACTCAAACTTACAGACGGAGAGGTTTCTATGATGATCATACAAACACGAACAAGGACAGACTAGACTCCTTCAGACTTGAGGTCCCAGCAAGGAGTGCTCCGGGCAGTGGGTTTACCAGTCCTGTCCTCAGCCCGAAAAAGTTTAGCACAGTTGACATCTTTAACCCTGCATTTCTGCATAGTAAATCTCACCTGGAGAATAACCTCAATGTCCATCCATTGCCCCTTCCACCCGGAGTGTTGAGGCTATCACCGTCATGTCCCACTCATAACAATACAGAAAAATCAGCACAGTCATGTCCCACTCATAACAATGCAGAAAAATCAGATACACCGCTGCCAACGAAAGGTCTATGGCAAAAAAGGAAATTATTAGGACGTGGCACTTATGGAACTGTTTATGTTGCATCTAATTGGTATGTTTTTTTTTCTTATTAATGTTTTTTAAGACAAGTGTGCCCAGGATCTTTACCCCGTATAGTCCTGCGGATTGTGAAGATAATGACTGGAGGGCTTCAAATTAGGGACCTCAGAGAAATTTTTGTTCTTGGGTTTAAACCTGTTAAATAACTCAGGAAGGTTAAAGATGTTTGTTTTGTTGGAAAGTGTCATATTTGCTAACAGGGTAGTGCATTTTGTTGATGAATGTGATATGCCTTGCACTGACAGTGAAACTGGTGCATTATGTGCAATGAAAGAAGTCGAATATGCCCTTGATGACCCAAAAGCCTTAGAATGCATACAGCAGCTGGAACAGGTTCTCTCTTCTCCTTGTGAGGCTATAAAGTAGTTTCACATTATTCATGTTCTCTTCACCTGTTTTGGTATGAGACCGGTTGCGACCAAATTAGACTTGCAAAGCATAATTTCCGACGTTCTAAATCTCTCTAGGTGTAAGTCGGGCACCAGCTTAGTGACTAGCACCTTGGTTGATATTAGACGGAATGTAAAATATACTTCGTATATTATAAATAATGTTGTACGAATACAACCACTAATATTGTATATACATATACACACGTGTGTATTTATATAGATATATCAATAGTGTATGCGTTGTAGAATAGTTAATTGTAATAATAATTTATCATCTAGTTCAATGATGCAATACTTATTAGATAAGTATCACCATAAAGTGCTTTAGTTTTTGAAAAGCATATGTGACATGCACACTTGAGGTTGTGAGCCCGAATGGAAAATGCTGTGTATGTCCTAGGTGTCCAATTAGTCGGGTTTAGGCGCACAAGCTGCCTGATTAATTCGGTCTTGGCCTCTGGCTAACTTGCTGAACAATTTTAAGACTGACTAGACTAAAGTTGGGGTAGCTAGTGATCGCCTAGTGCCTAGGGCAGCAAAGACTAGACCAGAAAACCATCCGAAGGAAACATGTCTTAAGCGAATAGAAACAACCATGTTACTTACATATTGGCATAACATGAGATCCATTGATATAATTAGTTGGCACTTGGCAAGTCATACGTTCCGGAATAATTGATTGCTGATGTTATTTGATTCTTTTTTAATTAGATACACAATTTCATTTTCTTAAAAAGTTGCCAAAATGAACTAAAATGTTCAATTTGGGACAGAGAGAGTTTTATATTGTGACATAGTCTACGAATGGCGCGGTAAACCAAGTTTATTTGAAGAATAAGTTGCAATTATTGAAGACTGAAATGGAAATGACTCCCTAATATAGATTGTCATTTGCTTTGAATTTAGGAAATACAAGTGCTTAGACAGCTGAAACATCCCAATATTGTGCAGTATTATGGCAGTGAAATTGTAAGAACATTCTCTACTCTCCTGGATTTGCAAATAATGATACACGTCTTTTTGCAGAGGAATCTCCACATTATGTGTGTGTGTTAGTTAACCAATGTTTTTTAATATGGTTTAGGTTGATGATCGGTTTTGCATATATTTGGAGTACATTAATCCTGGATCACTTAATAAATATCTTAGAGATTATGGAGGAGCTTTGCCAGAGTCTGTTGTTAGGAATTTTACTCGTCATATTGTTTCTGGAATGGCTTACTTGCACAGCACCAAGACAATTCACAGGTACTGTATCACAGTAGTGGTAGACTGGGTTATAGTTCATTTTCATTTACCCCAGTGCCGTAAAGGCTCCCACCTACAGTGGGGTAAGGGAGACTGGGTTATAGTTAAAGTACATTAATTATATAATGAGGTTTTCCCACTTTTAGCCACTGCCTGTTTTGTCAACTACACTTTGGTACCTGTCTTTGAATATTTCACTTTTTTCCCTATAAATATTGTGACACAGACACTTCTTGTACCCATCTTTAAATCTTTGCACTTTTAGACATGACAAATACACTTTTTATTCTCATTCTTTTTCCTCAATAGTTGAATGACTTACAATTACAATAGTTGGAGGATAAATTTATCACTCTACATTAGTCTGAGGACTAAAAGTAGAAAAATTTAAAGACCATACCAATAATGTCCCATAATAATTGGAGGACCAAAATGGGAAAAGTTCAATGATAGGTACTGAAAGTCTCATTGCAACAATAGTTTGGATAATTTAAAGTGGAAAACACTTATTATATAATGAATGATAATAGCTTATTAGGGATGTTTGAGAAACAGGGACATAAAAGGGGCTAATTTGCTTGTAGATGCATCTGGTGTTGTCAAGCTTGCTGACTTTGGATTGGCAAAACATGTCAGTTCTTGAATCCTTGAATTGTTTATATTAACTAAGACGGATTACTTACTTTCCCAGCATGCTATGTATTTTATGATTTAAACACACACACACTGGCATTGCTCATTTGTTCTGTACAGATGCTTTTTTATGCTATCAAAGTCCATCCGCAGTATTTGCTTCTTCCTTATTTCTTTTTCCATTTATTTATTTTGACTTGTTTATACTTTATTATTATTATTAAGAGCTGTAGCTCCATCTTAAATTGTCAATTCAATAGGAGTAATCCAAGTTCTTAATTGTATGATTGTGTTTCCATGTTTTTCTGATGTGAGATAAGTTAAAATTTACCTTAAGCTGTTTCATAATATTTTTCTTACTCATTCTCTGGACTCTATTTCAGCTTTCGGGAAAGAATATTGATCTTTCATTGAAAGGAAGTCCGCATTGGATGGCCCCTGAGGTATTTCAATAAAACGAGTAATCTTGACGGTTCTTGTTTTCTTGAACTACTTTAGCAGAACACGTATATGTATACACATGTGGCAGGTGATGCAGGCGGTGTTAAGGAAGGATGATAATCCATATCTTGCACTTGCTGTCGATATATGGAGCTTGGGCTGTACGGTCATTGAGATGTTCACGGGGCAACCTCCCTGGAGTGATCTTAGTTGGGTAGGAAATTAATCTTGACCCTCCTTTTGTTTTGCGATCAAATAAATGATATAATTAATGATGATCATCAGGTACAAGCGATGTTCAGTGTATTGAACAAATCGCCACCTATACCAGAAACACTATCTTCAGAAGGAAAGCATTTCATTGGATGCTGCTTGCAAAGGAATCCAGCAGATAGGCCATCTGCAGCTATGCTACTTGATCATCCTTTCTTACATCTCTCCCCTGCCTCTCCATTCCAACATGTATGCCACTATGCCTGTGTTATTTTCATATTCCAACAAAAAATGTTTAAAAGGATAAGGTTGGGTTTGGCATAGCCAGGACCCCGAAAATTTTGAATTTGGGGTAAATCGGAAAAACAATTCATTTATATGTATTTGTGCACAAAAAATTTACACATGAAAAACTTGTGTTTACCAAACTTGGGGTTCGCCTCATTTTTGGGAGCATGTATGTATTGGCCTTCTCGTCATTTTTGGCTTATCTACTTGGATCTTGATTTTCCAGGATACACAACAAGACCTGATGAAACATCAACAACTTGATCAGCTAAATGCAACTCCGTCCATTATGCATCTGAAACTGTTGCGTAGCAGCCACGGGTAGACACACCTACTTACCTCGACTGTGTTCATTATTACTCCCGGCCCATATCCATTTGTATGTTTGAGGTTTGACTCATAATAATGAACTTAACTCTCTTAATGTATTGAAACTAAATTAAAACTTACATGTTTAGAAGCTATACTTAAAGTTCCAATGGGCCGCAAAAGCTGAATTTGAATATTACCAAATTTAATTCACAAAATTAGAGATAAAAGATACGGAGTATGTAGTACTAGTATTACATTGACCACATGAAAACTCACAATGTTCCCGAAAATTAGTAAAACAAAAATCAATCATCCATTCTCTTTCCCTCCGAAATCCACGAGGCAAATCACACTGACACACGACACAAGCTATGTACTTCCTATTCTTATTGCCCTTTGTTAATGTTGAAGTTCATATCTCAGCTCTTATTTGCTGTTAGGCTAGTTTGGCGTAGCGTACTAAATTTAAACTTAAAAATTAAAACCAGCACATGGATAAAGTTGTCCACTATAAAGTTGTCCTTTTTTCTGGTTACAGTGACATAGCAGGTACACACCCACCTAATTCTGAAGCTAATGGTGCTGTTGGGGGATCTCGTCATCATTCACCACGCTCAACGCTCGAGGTATTCCCCGCTTCACCTGAGAAAACGTATAGTTGATGATCGATCGATGGGCCAGTTTGATCAACCTCTCTAGTGTCTGTTTTTGCAGCAGCACTCCATGTTCACAGGGAGCTGAAAATACAAGGTCTTGGTTGAGCAATGACTATGGGAAATGAAATCCGCAACTCATGTATTTGTGTATAATATTATAGGTTATATAAGTTTTTTTTTTGGAAAAATCATAGGTTATACGAAGTGTCAAGAATGTTCAGGTCCGAACGTTCGGACAGGAGCCTCCGTCCGAACACCGCCTTTTAGGGAGGTTCCCGGTGGAATTTTTTGATGAAATATTTTGAGCATGTTCCTCATCAAGTCTAGTTTGTCCATACCAAATTTCAGCTCAAAATTCGATCGGGAAGGCATTCAAATAATTTTTTGAAGTTGACTGCATTTTTATATGTATATTCAGACGCAGTCAACTTCAAAAAATGATTTGAATGCCTTCCCGATTGAATTTTGAGCTGAAATATGGTATGGACAAACTAGACTTGATCAGGAACATGCTCAAAAAACTTCATCAAAAAATTCCACCGGGAAGTGCCCCAAATGGCCATGTTCGGATGGCGTTCGGACCAGGGGCTGCTGGACAGGATCATTCCTCTACGAAGTGTGGAGTATAAGTTAAGCAGAAGCTTATGTACCTCAAGTGATGCATCGACTTCTATTTAACAAAGTCTCCATCTATTGTTGTCATCAAGTATTCTTGGTAGGACAAAAATATTTGATACTCATTATCTCAATTTGTTTCAAACTGAATTCATTAGAAAACAAATGGAAACTGAATCCTGATTGAAATGTTTACCCCTAATTGGCAAATGGCAATTGAATATTTAACAGCTACTCTACTACAGTACTACTAATATGGATCCCCTGAAGCATCTCTTTAATGCTCACGCGCAAGTGCTACAATGGCCCGCTATAGGAGTGTTTGCAATAGATTTCGAAAAGCTTTTTTAGCCTTTTGCTTAAAAGAAAAGCTGAAATTGTTATTTTCAAGCGATAACTTATTTATAAATTAAAGACTTTAAAGTTAAAGGATGGAAATAGGCGTAGGGACTTGGATTGCTTACAATTATTTTCACTTTTCTATACAAATGGTATTTTTTTAATGAACACGATCAACTTTTACTTTTGGAAAATCATGTTTTTCTAAAACACTATCAACTTATTAACAACTATAAATTCTAGCGACATTAACCACGACTTTTTCAAACACGACTTTTTCAAAGATTTTTTGACGAGAAAAAAAATCCTTACCAAGCAATGATAGTAATGGTGGTGAGGGAGTGATTGAGTGAAGCGAGGCATCTATGCAGAGGATGGAGGAGATAAGAAATTTGAGTAGGTTCAGAGTTTTTATTTCGTCACTTTAAAAAATTAAAACTTGTTATACTTATGTCACTACTTATGTCACCTCAAACTTCAGTAGTAATTAATATTTGTGTCACTTTTTATTTATTTATGTATATATTATCAATTATGTATATCATCACTAGCATGGGGTGGCAGTGCCACTGGTTGGGAGAAGTAGGGATACTTGATTATAGAGATTATGTCATTGACTATAGGTGGATTATTACTGTCAGTCTCCACGGGTCAGGATAGTAGATGTTTTTGGGTGAAATGTTAGTGTTGGTAGTGAAAATGTTGCTTTCTCTAGAATGAAAATTTAATAATCACAAAAACAAGTTAAAGGGTCTAAATGATATAATAATGATACAACAAGTAATGGCTGCTGAGGGGGTGTTTGGATCTGATTCTTAAAGGTGCTTTTGCTCCTTCAAGGAGAAGGAGCAGGAACAGAAGTTGGAGTGTTTGGGTGAAAGTGAAGAAGTGTTTCTGATGTTCTAATTTACTTCTAGAATCAGTTTTTTTAGAAGTCGGGAGGAGCAATTTCTGAAAACTGATTCTGATTCTGCTTAGGTAATCATTTGGTCTTTCTGGTAACTAGAATGGAATGGTGCAAGGCTTTTATAACCCAACTCAAGTGGAAATGTGGGGACTTAGACAAGCTATTCGTTGGATGGTTAATCTTAACGGGGCGGGTTATTTTTGGGATGGGTTGCAATTCACTCCAATCAGGATGAATGGATGATAGACCCGAGTACGTAGGCATGGCAATGGGTCATGGCGGGGCGGGTATTGCAAGACCCGGACCCGCCCCGTGACTTGGCGGGGCGGGTATTGCAAGACCCGGACCCGCCCCGTGACTTGGCGGGGCGGGTCCGCCCCGCCCCGTGACCTGCACGGGTCCAAACTTGTTGACCCATGACCCGCCCCATGTGGGGCGGGGCGGGTCCGCCCGGCCGCCCCGCCGCAACCTAATTAGCCAGTTTGTATTTTTATTTGTGGGAAGTTGTTACCAATTGAATCTACATAATGTTTATCTCTAAATAATAATTAAAAATCAATATATTAAATCAAATTCATGATACGCTAAAAATTTCAAAATTTAAGGAAAAATTACTCAAACTTGAATAGTTAATCTAATTAGTTATATTAATAATTGAATAAATGTATTAAAATTCTATATATAAAGAAGACATTGATAATCCGCCGTCCATCTCATTCTAATATATATTCATATATTATAAGATCAAAGAATTTATGATTTATTGTACACACACATATGTGTGTCAAAATCTATTTGTAATATAAGTTAAGAAAAAGAATGTATACTTATATATTGAGCGGGTCGGGTCGGGGCGGCACGGGTCAATTCTAATACCCGGACCCGCCCCATTGTATAGGCGGGGCGGGGCGGACCCGCCCCATTTGCAAGACGGGGCAGGGCGGACCCGCCCCAAATGTCTCGGGCCAGGGCGGGTCATTGCGGGTCGGGTTTTTTTTTGACATCCCTACGAGTACGGGTATATGGTGGGGGAGTGTAGACCAAGGCTAGCTACAAATAACGATTTTATAACTCACTCCAAAAACGCAATATAACTCACTGATTTTATAATGGGCAAAAATGAGCCAACGGCAGTTAAAGGAGACCTCCCGTCACCCAATCCTGATACAAGAGTCTTACAACAATAAAAATAACCAACCGAAAAATAAACAATCTGATCATGAAAAATAAATAGAGAGCAAACAATAAAATTAAAATACTGTTTTCAAACCCTTAACTCTCGTGCACTCTTGTAATTAAGCCAGTATTAATTACATTTCTTGCAATGTTTTTAACTATATTCTTGTAGAAAAAAAACTCAAAAGGAACACTTTTTTCCTCACGTTTTCAATGAATATTATTCATGTTAAAGCCCTATGAGGATGTTTTTACTTAAACTATTTTCATTTCGAAATCAGACTAGATCAGATTAGACTTCGTCTGTTATAAAATACATAGAGATCAACATGTAGTAGATCAAACCACTTTAGATCAGATTAAACTTAAACAGACTAAACCAGATTTAAGCATATCATATTCGACTAATTGGACCAAATTCTTTTAGTCCAATTAAAAATAGTCTTGTACTCCTATTAGGATATTTTCTTTTGGACTGTTTTTCAGTCCCATACCAGACCAGTTCAGATCAAAATTACACAGACCAGCCCAGATAAGACCACAGCGAGCCACACTTGGATACTTATAAAATACACATGAACCAGATAGTTACCAGACCAGATTTAAACAAACCAGATCAAATCAGATCAGACCAGACCTACAAATTTCCTACAAAGAATACATCCTTACGCACAACGCCACTGCCTTGTTGAGTTGTTGCTCATTCTAAAGAAATCTTGAGTGTCTTCTCGGAGACGCTAACAGCTATTCAAACTTACTCCGTATAAAAATTGCATTGAAGAATAAGGCGGGAAAATTTGTGATGATCGAGAATAGTTGAAGTAAGCAGTCCTTACCCAGAACGGCGCCTGCCTAATTGTCCACCGCGTAACTTTGTCATGGGCGAAGAAACCGTCCAAATTCTTAAACTCTCTGAGCTTATCGGACGTTCAAGACCACTCACCGGAGCATTTTCTCTCATTAGCAGCCCTTCTATCTCTCTTTCAGGACCTACTCGAAATTCTGGAGTTCGAGACGAACCTGACAAAGGCTCCCGCCCGGATACCGCAACCCCTACCCAGAAAGTTCTCAAATCTTTAACATTTCCGGCACTTCTCACCGGAACCCTAACTCTACCTACTCATAACGACGACTCAAGTTCTAAATGCGCTTGCTTTCAGTTCTCTGATGGTTCAGCTACCGTCTGCTGTGACATTCTCACGTTTGATCTGAAGATAATAGGCAAAAAGATCAAAGTTTTGGCTTGGAACTTCATTCCTCTCAGTAGTAACAGTGGTTTCTTGGAGATTATTCGATGGGAGTTTCTTGAACCTCCTTCTTTCTTGGACACATTTAGTCTTTTTCAAGTTTCTAGTACTAATTCTGCTGGTCCTGCAAAAGCTCAGCATTTCTTAACGGGAGAAATAGAATCGATTAGCCCTGTTTCAGTTATACCGTGTGCAGGTTCTACTACCAGCGAGAGCAACTGCTTGAAGAGTCTTCGTGGATTTCTTGCCAAAATATTAGTTTGTGAGTGCAATTTGTGTTGGTGTACATATTCAACAATTCAATTAAGTAAATCAAATGGAGATTCTATTTGTCATTGCTTTAACAAGCCTGTTATTGTGTACTTTTGCGGCCCTGCTTCACATTGGCATCCAGTAATGACTAGATTAGTTGGAAGATTAGTTTCTTTATCAGGGTTGAAGAAGAAATCAGTTTCTATAGGGAAAGGGATATCACAGTTGATGTATGTGACAGCTGAAAAATCTTCCATACGTATTTCTACCTTGCCGGACCAATTTAAAAGTATCCCAAAGTTTGATGTAAGAGGTAACGGTAAATGTGGGAGTTATAATGGGATGGTCACAGCCATTTACATGCAGGGAATGATTGTTGAGCTGGACCAAGAAGTAATGCTACTGTTAACTAATCGTGATATCATTGTGCCTCATAGTTTGAGAGTTGGCGCCATAGTAAGTAGATGAAAATCTTTGTAGACTACATGCATGTTTATGATAACTTACGGTGCAAGGATTTTATAATAATGGTTCTGATTTAAGTACATATAGTGCTTCTTGGAAAAAGAATTAGTTAATGTTTTCTTAAATAAGCTAAAAAATACTTCTTAAAGCATTGAGATTGCTTCTTTAAAGTTAAAAAAAGAGCTTCTCCTTTTTTTCATGGCCAATGCTTCTTTATGAACTAAAAGTACTTTTCTTTCTCTAAGAAGCATTCAATCCTTCAAACTATTAGCACTCTCTGGCTTGACCTATATCTAGCAAATATTTTTAGGTGAGTTTCATAAATGAAAATGGCTGTCCAAATATATGGTTGTTTGTAACAGATATTCTTGTGTGTAGGTTTCTTTGAGAAATGTTCACTTTGTGAATCCAAGATTTTCTTGGGCGAAGTTTCTTATTCTAGGATCTTGCATTAAGACAAGTGTCTCTGTTAAATCTTTCTCTTTGTTAGAAACCGGGTTAGCCCAACTATCCTGTTCAAATGCAATATTTCTATATCACTACCTGCAAAACATTTTATTCTCACATGTTGTTATTTATGTCTCTCAGAGGTTATACTAGGCCACGACATCAGAGCCTTTTGAGGAAGTTTATTGACTCTCTGACCTTCGTTGCTAGGCTGTGGTAACAAAAGGAACCATTTTTAAACTTTTGACATTTTTTACATGCTCATTCTTGACTTTTATGTTATATTTCCTTCAGGGCATTGCTTGTCATAGCAACTTTTAGGAGAAAATTCACTGGGATCTTATCTACAAAGGAGATTATTGGATCGAAAAATGTAAATGTTTATTTTTTGACATTTGAAACCACACCCAGAAGGATTATCTTCTGTTTCAATCCGAGTTCCCTTTCTTGTTCTAAAAATTGCTCTTGTCTAATCTGAACTGATGTAAGGTGTTATCAGAAGAAAGGACTGGCTCAGCTGTATGCAACCTCACGTTTACCTAAGTCAGTCTTCTTATCTCAGGTAAATAACTGAGCTTTTTTTTTTGCTTCTTTCCACTCATCTGTACCATCCTTGACGGCTCTATATATTTGATAGCATGGACCTTTTTGGGCTTTCTGCAAGCATGATACGTGTGCCTGTAGCAGTGAAGTGAATTATTTTCAGCCGAGTTTAGTAAGTATATGTTTCGGCGTCTCATGTGACTTATTTAATTAGTTCAAAACTGGAAAAGTAGCTCAGATCCCAAGCATTTTTATTGAATAATTCATTTCAGGTAGTACCATTCTCTAACTTAATTTATTACTGCGAGTCAATTTGGATTGAAGTGCTGCTGGATCAAGAAAGAGTTAATATCATGGGCCCAAAAGACCAATATAAGTCAATTTCCTGCGGGATTGTGGATTATATGCAGTTTATAAAGAGAATTGTGCACAGTGATGAAATTGGCATTTCATTGGTTGGAAACTTAAAGGTTAGAATCTCATCTAATATGTGCTCTTATAATCTTATATAGAACAAGTTTAGGGACTTTGCATATTGTTTGCATTGTTTATTATTTCATATGTCAATAGCGGATAGCCTGAATCTTTAAATCTATAAACCGGATTATACTAATATCAAGCATGTTAATTTGTTTCCATTCAGATTTCTGAATCTTCTGGAAGGTTGCAACTAGTGGATGCAACTGGCAGCATTGACATTACACCAAATTTTTCATTGAATTGGAATTTTCAGAGTATATATGAGGTATATGCATATAGATCATGTTAGTTTTATTTATTTCTGAATTATGACCATGACTGTTGAGTCATAAAAGTACTTGAACATCCAGAAATTACTGTGTCAACTTAACGTTATGAAAGTTTCTATGCTACAGGTTAAACGGTTCACTTTAGCTATGCAAGGCTTACCTGAAAAGATGGACAATTTCTATTTACCGAGAGATGAACCTTTTTCATGTCGGAGTATATTCACCAGTGGCCCACAAATGCAAAAGATTAATATTTCTCTCCATTTTTTCTACAATGTGGCAGACAAAGAATCCATAAAGCATCCAATTTCTGAAAATATCAATATGAAAGAGACCTTTCAAGAGCTTGAAAGGGGGCGGTTTCATCTCCTATTGATAAAGCATAAGTTTCCCATTCTTCAAAAGGCATGTTCCATATGTGTTTGAGTTGCGATGTATCTTTCTTTCTTTCTTTCTTTCTTTCTCTCTTATATCCCATATTCATGTTTTTCAGTATCAAGGTCATCATGGAATTTCAAGTAAGCTGAGTCTGTTTGTTGAGGCTCTAGTTCTGCCATGGGATCTGCATATCTCTGAGAGTGATGAAGATAACCTTACTGACATAATGATAGATCCTGAGAAATATCTTAGTGGAACTTTACCTCACGCATCACGTGAGTCTTTCCCTGAAAGTAAAAGAATGGCAATAGTTAATTCATTCCTGCTTATGTTTGGTGTCTGATTTTTTTGTCAGCGGGCAAATGTAATGTTTCAAGTTGCATCTCAGAAGTTCTCTGTCTTGTTACTGGTAGAAGAGAGAATTCCCACTGCGTGGGCAAGCTACAATGCCACCATGCTGGTGTGATGTTTGGCCGTTCTCAACCTGATATGAGAAAGGCATTATTGGAATTCACCTATGATGCATTTTCTGTGTATGAGGTACGTAGTTTGCTGACCTTCTCAATCTCTCTTCTTTGTAAGGCTCCATTTGGAAGGGCGTTTGACCTCACCTAATGTTTTTTTTTAATATAATATTAGTTTTCACAATAAAAGAAATCAAAATAAATAAATTATTCTTGTATTACAATTGAAAAGTTTGTATCCACATATGTGCTATCATCATCATCATTACCCCAGTGCCGCAAAGGCTCCCACCTACGGTGGGGTAAGGGGATCCACATATGTGCTAAAGCTAAATAAAAACAATTTTGGATGTAAAATTTGTCTTGTCTTGTACTCCCTCTATTCTAATGATCAGTAACTAGGAGTAATAGTTAGTCTAACACTCTAACTACAATCTCATTGTTAACTTTTCTTTAATATTCATTTATAATTAAATAGCCGCAGCACTACTTGTTTGTAGGATTTTATATGTAACTTCTAATATGGTAATTTATTTGAATACCTTACATCAAGTTTAACAAAGATTGAGTTGAAAACAACTTTTGACTTTCCCAAGACAAATAAATGGGACAGACTGACAGAGGGTTTACATTTTTGTTCAAATGCATCTTTTTATGGTAATTCAACATGGCGGACTAACTGATCCCATTATTTCCCCAAACACATACTTTTCACTGTTCTACTGCTAATGGAGCCAAAGTAAATATAGTTTATACTTGAACCGGTTGTTAAGAGTTACCTTTCTCAATAGTGCAGGCCCTGAGAATTGGTTGTTATTACATGATAAAGCACAATGAGGCAGACATGTTGTGTGCGTCAGCAAGCCACAATAAAGTTCTGATGAATTTCAGAACTTATATTTGGAGCCTTTCGTTCTCAACTTCTGTGGTTTCCCCTGAAAGCTTCCCTCATGAAACACAATCTGACATTAACCTGTTTCTTTCTTCTACCTTCATACACCTCCTGGAAGAAGATTTCAAACTGCCGAAGTCAGGTCAGATTGGTCCTCATGTTTCATCGGAAGAAGAAACAGAGATGAAATATTGCAATGAAGAGAAAGTTAGTTCTTCAGTGCTACCAAGTGGAACAAGATATTCTGATCACCATTTACCTGAAGGAAAACTAATACATTTACGCGGACGAGTATGTGCTGTTCATCCTTTAGATGATAATTTGCACCATGGAGCTCCTCTTCATTCCATGTTATTTGAAGAAACATGTATCTGTGTCCATCTTATGGTGGGCCAAAAGATGGTATTATTATTGTGATTTATATGTTTCTGTTTGTCATTTTTTACCAAACCCCAAAAGCAAACATTTTCAACTAAAACAAGTAACTGGTTAGGTCAGGATATATGGGGCCATACATAAGAACGCTTGCCCTGCTGGATTTGGAAAAGGTGCCACTGCAACATTTCGCCGAATCCTAGCACTTAGGTATGCAACTCTCCTTTCCTCGAATTGCCTAATGTGGAAGCTTAAATTTTTACTAAATTCCATGGCAGCATGTCCGATACGAACATGAAAGAAAACAAGGAGTTCTTGACTATCTGGAAAATATTTTTTCAAAAAGTAGTAGTCCCTCTGGACCTAATTAGAATAAACAGTAGATTAATTTACACAAAGGAATTAATTTTCTTGATTCTTCAATGATGTAATGTGATGTGACAATTTATCCTCTTTAGTATGCCTTGTAAATGTGTACTTCTAGAAAATAAACACAAACACAATATTTATTAAGGGAAAAGAATGGAAAAAAAATCAATAAATGTTTCATAGGATAATGCTGGAAGTGATCAGTATATGAAATGTGTTTTAGATATTTCATCTGCTACTATTTCTTTGTATCAATAAATTACATACCACACTTCTTAGTTTTGTTTTGAATGATTGTACTTTCAATCTCTTTTTTCTTCTAGTGGACAGGATGGTTTTATGATGATACCTTCATCTTACATCAGTGTGCACTCTGATGTCATCAGCTATTATGCTCCTGCTGCTGAAGACTCACTTAGTCTTGATCCGTGTAGTAATGTGCCTAGGGCTTTGATTTATGAAACAATGCATTGCTCAAAGAATCAACCAATAGAGTTCCGTTGCAGGGTAAATTAATCGCTTGGTCTACCTTTTTATATGTTCTTTTGAGATTCCCCTTCTTGTGTACTATCTCTGTTAAGCCATTCGCATCTTGCAAATATAACAACAGCAACTCACATATTAAGTCCTTATATAAATCTTCCTATAAGATTCACCTGGTTATATTTCATATGACCTCCGTCCCAAAATACTAGCCAAATTCAAAACTTTGACCAATTATATATATTCATTGGAAATTATTTATAATATAAAAATGATATGAAAATGTTCTTTGTAAAAAGTAATTTCATAAAAGTAAAATTTATAACTTTTATAATATTATACTAATCAAAACCATGGTTCAAATTTTAAGATCTGGCCAAGTATTTTGGGACAAAGGTAGTATTAACTAAATTTTAAAATTCAAATCCACACATAAGGTGTTGGGCTATTCCTCCTACAAGGCTGATCTTGTTCCTCTTCATCGTGTTTGTGGACCCATTGCGGACATCACACATGTTTGCTTTGGTTACAGGTTGTAGCTGTTTATGTCCTCATTATGGAAAACAGGGACATCATGTACTCTTACCGAAGGGCAAAAACCAAGTTTAGCTCATCATCTTTTGACTACATTCCTCTTGCCGGGTTCATCTTAGGTAAATCCAAAACAAAAAGGATCATATTTGTAGAATGATTTTAGTCTAGGCAGAATTGTAAGGCCTGTTTACTAACAAGATATTTTCCAGTTTTCTTTTCTGTTTTCCGTTCTACAATTTTCTGTTTTGATTTTCCAGTTTATCGTTCTTCAATTTTCTGTTTTCATTTTCCAGTTTTTCATTTTCAAATCTGAAAACATGTTCACTGAAAATTTTCAAGACTTGAAAGATAGGTTAGCAATTGGTCAAAGGCCTTGATGATGAAAACAATGTTATAGTGAATAATTACAATCTAAGAGTAAAGTCAAATCACGAATTTAAGCTTTTTCTAGGAAAACAGATTATATTTTAGTTTTTATTGAAGATTCTTTCACATATTATATACAAATTTCGATAAAGTATTCATAAAAAACAATAAAGAAAATAAGAAAAGAACTTAAATTCATGAATTTTGTCAGTTTCTGATAGAATCATGATATCATCCATTCATATCATTGATTGATAGTATCTATCTTTCGCGTTTTGGAACGATAATACTGCAATAGTAAAAATGCTTTTTCTCGAGTACCAAGTCTTGGTTTCATAATCAATCTTTAAAATCAGTTTTACCCTGCAATGTTTCTCATTTATTCATCGTAAACCATGCGCGTGTAGATGATGGATCATCTTTATGCTGTTGTTGGGCGACTAATGACCATGCAGCAGCTTTGCTTGGATTATCGCACTCCAAAGTTTATTGTGAAGGTCATGAAAAGATTCAGTCAAGATCAAGAAAGAGCAGAAAAGAGAAAAATTGCAGTGTGGTTGGCAGTCATTTGAAGGACATAATTAAGCGCCACCATGGCAGGGTGGTTGTCAAAAACCTTGGATCAACATTTGATCCTTCCGCTCAGGAACTAATGTTTTCCGTTAACTTGGACACAATCATGAGCACCTCGGATGAACACTTCCTCAGGAAGGTGATTCTAAATGCTTGCTCCAGCAACACTTGGGTATGCTTCCCAAACCAACACTATTTTTCTCACAAAACATCATGCTAGTTTGCAATGTTAGAGCCCATTTCTCAAGGCTGGAATCTTCTAAACCATCTAAAAACATACCAGTATATATATAAATAACTAAAAAGAATAATTTTTAAATATAAACGTTGAAGTAACAACATTAGCCCAAGTAAAAGCATGTTGCATGCTTTTTTCTTTATTTATCAACCAATTCTAGTACATAAGTTGTGTGTGATGAAAAACTGAGGTCTATCAAACGGGCTCTTGGTCAGCAAAGCATCATCTGATTTTCAGGATGATCTGATATTGTTTGTTTCTGGTGTTGGCAGAATGTGGTGGTGAGGCTTGTGGACTCAGAAGAGAGCAAAGAATTAGTAAAGCATTTGAGGGAAGTGGATATGTTGTTGCCTCAGATGAAGAATGTTTGGGCTTTAGGAGTTGATCGCGTAGAGGCTCTTGCGGAGGCAAGATACATCATTGAAGGACTTGCTGGTGGTTCCTAATAGGCCTAAGTGCCTAACCCAGATATCGTCAATACTTGTGCATAGTTGCTCCTGCTTTGCTTGTTCTACTAATTACCATCAAATTAATTAACAAATCTACTAATATTTATTTTTATAGAAAGACAGCTTCATTTTTTCACAGTTATACTTTCAGTTATATTTTTTCGCACTACCAACACTAATACTACTGTTGTTATTTATGATTATTATTAGTTTAGAAAAATGGCGGAACCAAAACTGGCAGTTTGTATTACATTTTTTGGGGGAACCAAACTACCAAAGGTGCTATGGGGTTCCGACCAAACCGCAACTGAATTACTGAAGTTTGGTAAGTGAAACCTTTGAACATGTTTATCTTTTCTTGTTTCGATTATTTTGTGAACTAATCAATTGTTGCTTGGTCATGTTTGCACATTTCAACGTCAGCAACTCTAATCAGTGAAGTAGTGAATGATGGATGCTTGAGAATCAGGTTTTAGGGGGTGAATAACAAACGTGAAACCCGTATCGACCCAAGAAATCCCAGAATTATGGACTTGAAACCGGCAAAAAATGTCAATAATCGGGGGTTCGATTTGCGATTTCAAATTAGATCTTAAACAGCAATGATAATTGATTAAATCAGCGGCAGCTAACTGAAAATAACCCAAAGAAAATGAACTCAAATTGAGCAAAACAAACTTGACTTAATACGTATTATCGATTTGGATATTGATTTTGTATTTCTAAAAGTCAACAACAACAACATCCAAGCCTTAGTGCATGTTTGGCAGATATAAGTCTCTGGCTTCTAGCTTTTGTACTGTTCAAAAAGTCTCTAAAAACTTCTAGTTGGATGTTTGACATGACAATTTTAAGAGCTTTTCAAAAATTAAAAAAACTTTTTTGAGATGCTATCGTGAGTAGCATCTGATAAAAGCTCGTGACTTTTAGTATTAATTAATACTAAATCAAACAGTCAGTTTTTTACCAAATAGTTACCACGTTTTCTTTTTAAGATCTTTTCAGTCACTAAAAGCTAACAGTTACTAAAAAGCTCACAAAAGTATCTTTTCAGCTAGTTGTGTCAAACATACCCTTAATCCCAAAAGAATTTGGAGGATTAACATGAATCGATTCATGATATCATGCAGTACGAAAAAGAGAAGAAACATAAAGAAAAAAAGATAAGATAACATGGATAAGATAAAGATATATACTACCTATAAGATAACAATAACATAAGAATATAAGAAATACTCCCTCCGCCCCGCTATGATTGTCTCATTTTACCTTTTCGGTCTGTCCCGCTATGATTGTCTCGTTTTACCTTTTCGGTCCGTCCCACTATGATTGTCCTATTTTTTGTGGTAAATGCAGGCCTAATTGTCATTCAAAAAAATTTACTCTCCAGTCTAGTAGGCATACCTCGATCGCATAGAAATTCTAATGCACTTTTCCATTTCATCCACCCAGCTCTGATTCTATGAGATACATATCCATCTAATTAACCATCCTTCTGAATTATAGAGCCTAAGTAACGGAAATATCACACACCGGTATCTCCTTATCATCAAGAGTAATCCCACTATTACAATTACTTCTATCTCCACCAAACTTGCACTTCATATACTCAGTCTTGCTTCAGCTTCGTCTGAACCCTTTGGTCTCCAATATTTGTCGCCATACATCTAACTTTGCTTTAACACTCGATTGAGTCTCATCAATCAATACCAATACCATATCGTCAGCAAACATCATGCACCGTAGTATATCTTCTTGAATTTACTTCGTAAGTTCATCCATGACTATAACAAATAAGAAAGGACTCAGAGCCGATTTTTGGTGCACTTCGATAGTAATAGGAAACTATGCAGTCCTCTCTACACTAGTAATGACACTTGTAGTACAAGCCTCATAATATCCATGATGATATTTATTTACTTACGTGATATGCCTTTTCTAGTTAAGGCTCACCAAAGAACCTTCTGAGGTACCTTGTCATATGTCTTTTCTAAGTCAATGAACACCAAATGCAGATCCTTTTTAGTGTCTCTATACTTCTCCACAACTTGTCCAAGAAGGTGAATGACTTCAGTTGTTGAGAGTCCATGCATAAAACCAAATTGATTCTCCGAACTTTCGCACTTTTTCGAAGTTTTTACTCAACTACTCACTCTCAAAGTTTCATGGTGTGACTCGATCATAAGCTTAATCCCTCGATAGTTGGCACATTCTTATACATCACCCTTATTGTTAAATAGAGGAATGAGGGTACTCTTCTGCCAACTCACTGACATTTTGTTGTTGATCCAAATCATGTTGAAGAAACGTGTTAGCCACTTGATTGCCTTCTCTCTCAAACTTCTCCAAACCTCGATCAGTATTCCATCTGGGCCCACTACTTCCTTCCTCCCATCTTTATCAAGGCCTCTTTAACTTCTGTCATTTGGATCCTTCTCACAAAGTCCCGATTTACAATACACTCTGATTTATAGTAAGATCATCAATATCTTGCACTTTATTCCCGTTGAACATGGCATCAAAGTATGACCTCCAACTCTCTCTTATTTCCTCGTCCTTCATTAGTACTCTTTGATCGACATCCTTCACAAACTTAACTTTTTCGATGTGTTGAGTCTTACGATTGTGAAGACGAGCTAGTCTTTAAATATCTTTTTCTCCTTCCTTAGAGTCCAATTTTACAGACAATTCCTTGTTCACTTTCAATTCCCTCTTGCTTCCTTTACAGTTTTCTTTGATTTTCTTCTAGCCTCCTTATACTCCTCTCTATGTTCTCATCGCTCCAACTATTGCCCAACTTTTTGTACCATTCCCTTTTTATCTTTATTGTTTGTTTCGCCTCATCATTTCATTAAGATGTGTCCTTTTTGGTGGTAGACATCCTTTAGATTCTCCGAGTATCTCCTTCATTACTTTGCTAATGGTAGACCACACATTATCCACATGTGCGTCATAATCACTACACCATACATCTCCTCCAATATTTCTAAAAGTCAAATTGAATAAATTTACTAGATAAAATTGAATGGAGGAGTAGTATAAGGAGGCTAGAAGAAAAACAAAGAAAACTGTAAAGGAAGCAAGATGGAATTGAAAGTGAGCAAGGAATTATTTGTAAAATTGGACTCTAAGGAAGGAGAAAAAGATATTTACATAATTGCTCATCTTCATGATCGTAAGTCTCAACATATCGAAAAAGTTAAATGTGTGAAGGATGTCGATCAAAGAGTTCTAATGAAAGACGAGAAAATAAAAGAGATGTCATACTTAGATACCATGTTCAACGGGAATAAAGTGCTTGTTTCACCTCATCATTTCATCAAGATGTGTCCTTTATTGTGGTAGACATCTTTTAGATTCTCCGAGTATTTCCTTCATCACTTTGCTAATGGTAGACTCCATTGATAATCACACATCATCCACATATGTGTCATTATCAATAATCATACATCTTCCTCAAATATTTCTAAAAGTCAAATTGAAAAAATTTACTAGGTAAAATTGAATGGACGATCAAACCCAGTGATGAGTTAATAATGACTTTCAAGCCTGCTATAATCATTTTGGATAATGCTAAAACTCTAGTAAAGTGAAAATATAATGATTATTGTTATTTGTTACTCATACAGTCATACTGAATGGGGTCGTGGTAGTTATCAACAATAAAATCTTTAATGGTCTTCAACGACTTGAATAAATGACCGTTTATTTTTATATTTTTTGTTTTTATGTTTAAGAGGTCGTTTGGCAACATTGTTCTTCGGCTTATCAGGCTCATCAGCCAACTTTTTCATCAAATACATAACTTTTGCTTTCGCGTACTGAATTGTGTAATAAGAAGAAAAAGTAAGGTTGAAGTTACTTTTCTGGCTGTATTGGCTGAAGTTACTGTAGATGACCATTTTAGCTATTTTTACATATAATTTTAATTTATTTTATTAATAAAATATATTTTAAAAATAATTTTTTCTTAAATCATCAGAATTAGCCAATGCAGCCACATTCAGTCAGAACTTCATAAATTTCAGTAGAATCAGCCAAATCAGTCGATTTTCGTGCTATCAAATGAGCTCTAAATGAATCACACATATTGTTGCTCTATTGGAGTGTTTGAAATTAATTATGTATCTGCTTTTTTATGTAGAAGTAAAATAAGAATTAATTGTATCTGCTTTTTTATGTAGAAGTAAAATCAGAATTAAAATATTAGACGATAGTCTCCCTCTTTTATTAAAACCGCTCTGAGATCAATTTGAACCAAAGTAGATATGCATTTCTAATCAAACACTCTAATATCGCAGATTATACCGTGCGACCGGCGCACCATGAGGATGGTGTGCCCGGTCGCAAAACGGCGATCGTTCCTCCCTCTCCAACTACTTTCGCCTAAACCAACAGCGCTCTCCTAGCCCCTGCCCACCTGCCATCGCCACCTAGCCGCCCCAAACCTTCACAGCGCCCAGCACCTCGCCCATCCACCTGCAGAATTGTTGCCCAACACCATCCCACAACCACAACCCCCTTGTGCAATCCCTGCAACTGCCGCATCACACCACCACAACCCCAGCTGCCTCACGCAATCACAGGTCCAGACCATGCCCCATTATATTCATTTGTGTGTGTGTGTGTGTTTTTTTTTTTTTTTTTTTTTTTTTTTTGTTTTTTTTTTTTTTTTGTGTGTGTGTGTGTGTGTGTGTATATATATATATATATATATATATATATAATTATATATATGGAGTTACATCTCTGTAAAAACGTTTTACATTTCAATAGCCTAAAGTTACATGTCCCAAATTACATCTAATTTGTTCCCCAAGTTACATTTCAATAAAAGCAGTTTACATTTTAACGAGTTACATGTGAATGAGTGCAATTTACATTTTGATTAACTTGAAGTTACATCTCGAATCACACGAGTTACATCTCATATAACCATGGGTGCATGGTGCTCACCATGCACCGGTTGCACGGTATAAGCACTGCTCTAATATATTTTTCCGCTCTTTAATGTAATTGAAGCATTTTTAAGTACATTCACACATCCCCTATACCGCTATACCTTTATTTACAAATTACAACTTGTATCGGGAATATTTTAATAATCCAACTTCTTATTTTTTTTTTTTTGGTAATAAACTAGCAATTCATTAAAAGAGTAAATCGTTCAACAACTGGTTTACAACACGATTAGGAATAGAGTCCTGGTAAAACCTAAGACCTGACTGAAAAACGCTTGCCCTTGCAAGAGCATGAGCTGCACGATTAGCAGATCTACCACAAAAGGAAAGAGAAAAAAGAGGATTCTCTTCTAAAAGAAGCCTA